AATGTATGCTTTCCTCTGTTAGGCTATAAATCCATCTATTGCTGCATAACTAACAATCTCAAACTTCATGATACAAAGCAAATGATAATAATAATAATAATAATAATAATAATAATAATTTATTATCTCTCACAGATCTGAGAGTTGACTTGGATCAGGTACACAGGTTTCACTCATAATTTCTCATTTAATTGTTGCCAGATAAGGACCAGAGTTGTAATCATCTCAATACTTCTTTTCTCTCATGTCTGGTAGTCAATGGCAGCTGTCCACTGAAGCTTCAGTTGGGACTGTTGGCTTGAACATCTATATGTGACCCCTGCATGTAATTGATCAGGGATTCTTTGCTATCTGGGTTTCATCCTGGAGAGGGCCAAGGAGAGGGTCATTGCTGTGCACTCTCAATTCAGCTGCATACTATTAATTAGAAGTAATATCAGCCCATATTCAGGACTTGATTAGTAGAATATAGAAACATATGTGGACATGGTGTAACCACTATACTCTGAGTATAGAGGCCTGGCCTGTCTTTTTCCTCTTTAAAAAAAAAAAAAAAAATATATATATATATATATATATATATATATATATATATATATATATATATATATATTAGTTGTAGATGGATACAATACTTTTATTTTAGTTATTTATTTGTTTTTATGTGGTTCTGAGGATTGAACCCAGGTCCTCCTGTTTAATGAATATCAGATGACTGTACTACCACTGAGCCATAACCCTAACCCCTCTTTCTTTATTTCTTTTTTTTTAATCCAACATGTTTTCAATGCTTAGGAAAAAGTCACATACTGTGTGATCAAGGAAAGTTAATTGAACAGGCAAATGGAGAGAAAAACTGGTGGGGTTCAGTGCCACAGAGAGATTATGCAGGGTGAAGATTGGGGAAAATTGGTCCTGTCTAATCATTACTCGTATGGACATCATTTCTATGTAGGGAACTTTATTTTAAGTGACTTCCTGTAACACTAAGGGGAGAGTGAGACTGTCACAATCCCTTTTTATTGGGACAATATTTGTTAAGTCTGAAGTGAGTAGATCTGAGAGGCAAAACCCCAAGGTGCATGCTTACATCTTGCCAGTACATGGTTTCTGCTCTTACCCAAATTCATAATGTGGGTGTAGTAGGTTTTTTCCTGCTGCATAGCAATTATCACAAGCTTGGTGGTTTAAAACAACCAACTGTTTATTGGCTCATAGCTGTAGGGCAAGACTCTTGGGCTTCCTTTCAGGGTTTTATAAGAGATCAAGGTATTGGCCAGACTGCATTCTCATCTAGAGCTTGAAATCCTCTTCTAAATTCACAGGTTGTGCTAAAATCCAGCTCCTTTTGGTTGTAATATTGAGGTCTCCGTTTCCTGACTGACAGCTAGGGGGCCATTCTTAGAGAATAGAGAATACCTCAATTCCTTGCCATGTGATCCCTCCATCTTCAAGGTCAACAATGAAGAATTTTTTTTTTCCTAATTGAATCCCTCTCTTACTCTCTGACTTTATCTCTGACCTCTAAACCAGATTTAAAGGATTCTTGTGATTAGGTCAGGCCAACCTGAATAATCTCCTTATGTTAAGGTCAATTGATGTTGGAACTTAATTACATCTGAAATTAGTGTTTAAATAACAGGAAATTCACAGCATTAGTTTCTGAGTTACCGGGAGAAAGGGTCTGTGCCCAAAGGGCTTAGGACTCCTGGGGGCTAGTTTAGAAGTCTGTCCCCGACAGAGGGAAATTTCTTCAAACGTAGGAAGAAGTAGGGGTGGTTTATAGGCTGGGAAGTAAAATACTTAAAAAATGTCTACCATAGGAAGAAAGAGGGCGGATCAACCTAGAAGAAAACAAAAAAGCAAATATCTGAGGTGAAATTATGAATTCCACCAAGGAACTAAATAGAGTTTGACAGAAGGAAGATATTGCAGTGTTGGAAGCCAGGCAGAGATGAGATGCACACAATGGTAATAGAACCCCTTGAATTACCAGTGAATTTCTTAAGCAATTAATTACGGCAATGAATTCTAAAAAATGAAGAAACTTAATGAAGGGTGTAGACAGCTTGGCGTTAGGCAAGGCAAAGCAGAGCATTGGAAGCATGGTCAGAGAATCACTGGAGGCAAAGAAACTGGAAGACTGAATTCTCTCTCTTTACCTGGATGAAGAGAAGGTTTTGAGATGGATATTGTCAGATTCTTGGCACTGTAGCATCTGTGAATCTATGTGAGGGCCACAGGCTCCTGCTGAGTTAGTTGGAAGACAAGGAATGCAATAGAGTTGAAGAATTGGTATGGAGGTGATAATGAAGGCCAAGATTGGGTTCAGTAGGGTTTGATGGAATAAGAAAGGTAGAAGGATAAGAGGTACATGTCTAACACTTCGCAGAAAAGTCAAAACACAGAGGGCCAACATACCTTTTTTCCCTCCTTCTTTTTCTTTGTTCTATTATGGTGATAGATTTTATTTCTCCACGTGATATAAATCTCACAAGATCCCTTTTTTCACCTTAAAAATCACATATCATTCAATACCTTTAAAAACAAGACAAGGTTCTTTCACAGTTACCTACATATTTACTATTTCTGAGACTATTCATCATTTTGTGTGAACTTATTCCATTTGAAATTTTTGTCTGTTCTTGAGACTAAACCACTTCAACATTTTTTGAAGTCTTTGTCTGTGACAATGAATTCTCCTAGTTTTAATTTGTCTGAAAATTCTTTTATTTCAACTTTGTCTTTGAAGGTCTTTTTTTTTTTAATTGATTTCCAGGTTGACTCCTTTTCCCCACTTTTAAATTAAAAAAAAAAGTGGGTCCATTTTCTTCTGGCTTGTTCATGAGAGATCGGTGATAATTCTTATCTTCATTTCCCTTGCATTAATGTATGTTTTCTTTTCCTGATTTTTACAATAATTCTCTTCATCATTGATTTTCAACAATTTTATTATAATGTACCTTGCCATGAGTCTCTTTGTGCTTATTCTGTTGAGATTTGTTGAATTTCTTGGATTTGTGAGTTCATATTCTTCATCAAATTTGGGAAAAAAAATTGAACATCATTTATCTAAATATTTTTTTCTGTGCTCCCTCTAGGACTCCAGTTGTATATATACTTGACCACCTGATGCTGCTGCATATATCACTGCTGTTTGGATAATTTATTTTTAGCTTGCTTTATTTCTGCATCTTAACTCAGATATTACTCTCTTTTAAAATTTACTGTTTTTTCCTCTAATGTTCATTAGCTAATAATTTTATCCAGTAAACTTTTTATTTTGGACATTTTATTTTTCATCTCTGGAAGTTTCATTTGGTTATTTATTTATTATTTCACATCTCCCATTTCTCTCTTCAGAAACACCCATATTCAGATAAAATAAACTTTAAATCAAAACTGTAAAAAGAGATAAAGATGGCTACTATATAGTGATAAAGGGACAATCCAAAGAAAGGAAACAATAATTATAAATAAATGTGCTCTCAACACTAGAGCACCCAATTAAATAATGCAAGTATTTCAGGCTGTAAAAAAAGAGATTAAAAAAAAAGGAGTTATAGACTTTAATACAGCAATAGCTGGGGTCTTTGGCACTTCACTTTCATCAACAGACAAATCATCCAGACAAAAATCAACAAATAAATTTTGCTATTAAACTATGCTATAGACCAATACTGAATGGACACAACAGACACTTACAGAATAATTTAGCCAACAGATGCAAAAAAAATATACTTTCTTCTCATCAGTAAATGGACCATGTGTTAAACCACAGAACAAGTCTCAATAAGTTAAAAAATTTGAAATGGTAGCAGGTATACTTCCTGATCACAATGGAACAAAACTTAGAAAACTTAGAAATTCTATAAATACAGGCATATTAAATGGCATACTCTTGAATGACCAATGGGTCAAAGAAGAAATCAAAAGCATAATTAAAAAAATTTCTTGAAACAAATGAAAATGGAAACACAAAATGCCAAAACTTACAACAAAAACAGCACTAAGAGGGGGAATTTTATAGCAATAGCATCTACATTAAAAAAAAAGAAATATTTCAAGTAAGCAACCTAATGATTCAACTAATGACACTAAAAATGTAGAAACAAACCAAATCCAAAATTAGTAGAAGAAAAGAAATAACAAAGGTAAGAACAGAAATAATTGAAAGTAGAGACTAAAAAAAATCATTGTACTCTTATTAAATAGCATTGTAATTCTAAGCTAGAGCAATAAGGCAAGAGGGGAAAAAAAGCATTGAGATCGGAAAGGGAGGAAGACAAATTATTCATTCACAGTTGAAATGATTTTGTATGTGGAAGAACCTAAAGATTCCACACACACACACACACACAAAAACACAAAATAAAATAAAATAATCATTAAAACCAGTAAGCAACTTCCGTAAGATCCCAGGACACAAAATTAACATACAGAAAGCAGTAGCATTTTTACACACTTAATAACAAAGTTGTTGAGACAGCAATTCCATCTACAGGAGTAAAAACAAACAAGCAAGAAAACAAAAACAAAACAAAAAAAACCCCAGGAATAAATTTAACCAAGGAAGCGAATAATCTCTACAACAAAAATTGCAAACACTGATGAAGATTAAAAAAGACACGCACACACACACACACACATACACACACACACACACCCTAGAGAGAAATCCCATGTTCATGGATTGAAAGAATTAATATTGTTAAAATATCAGGACCACTCAAAGTGATATACAGGTTGTATGCAGTTCCAGAACAAACAAACAAACAACAAAAACTCCCTGAAGTTTGTATGGAACTATAATACAGAAGGCCCCAAAGAGCCAAAGCAATCCTGAGCAAAAAGAAAAAAGCTGGAAATACACAATACTGGACTTCAAAACTTATTACAAATCTACAGAAACAAAACAGCATGGTGCTGGCAAAAAGACGGACCTCTAAACCAATGGAATGAAGCAGAGAACTCAGAAAAAAATTCACACAGGCTGGGGATATAGCTCAGTTGGTAGAGTGCTTGCCTCGCATGCACAAGGCCCTAGGTTCAATCCCTAGTGGAAAAAAAAAAATTCACACACCTATAGCCAACTGATTTTCAACAAAAACAGTAAGAAAGGCATTGGAGAAAGTTAAATCTCTTCAATAAAATTAGCAATGGGAAAATTGACTAATCCATGTACAGAATAAAGAAACCAGACCCTACCTCTTACCATATATAAAAATTAACTCAAAATTAAAATTATGCTGTCTATAAATATCATTGGCTTATAAGAGTTAGTTGGAGAGTCCTGGCTGGAAACATATTAGAGGACTGTTGGCTTATTAATGGGTCTTGTTGACATCAACAGGGATGTCAGTAGTGGGAGAGCAGATATGGGGCAGGTTGAGCCCTGGGATACTCCAGCATGTGGGCTCAGGTAGAGGAAGAGCCAGCCAGGCAGACCATGAAGAGAGCAGCTTCTTGGACAAGTTGCCTACTGCCTACCTTCCTCCTTGCACTAGCTTTATGAGAGTCTGTGATGTGCCCTGCCCTATGAACGTGTGGAGGTGATTGTGTCTCTGTGTGTGTGTGTCAATGTGTGTGCACATGCTTCTGAAGGGTAGTGACTATATGAAGCAGTTTAGTCCCAGAGCTTCAAAAGAACAGAGAGGTTGTCCAAGCTGGGGGAAGCAACAGCCAGATACAGCTCAAAGCATTCATTCCTACTATTCCCTGAACTACAGGTCATTCTGGGGGAAACCAGGCATAGCTGACTAGGAGCAGAAAATGGGCAGTGGCTCTTGTGTCCACCCCTGGCCTTCTTGGCCTTCTCAACAGCACCCCTTGTGCAATCATTGAAATCCCCAGTACAGAGACTGCGGGTCTGAGGTGGGTGTAAGTTACTTACTCTCTGATGAAGAATACAGTTCAGGGAAGGGGGTTCAGAATTTCCCACTCAGGATCCTTCTGGGGAATTTCTTTGGAGAATGGCCAAGATTGGTGTTCATGTAGCTGAAACTGTGAGACAAGCAGTTCTTGTTCCCCATCCCTGGATCCTGGGTTGGAAAAGTTCTTACTGGTGCAGGCAGGACCTATACTAGACCTCGGGGAGGAGGTCTGGAGGAGGTGTGAGTGGGGTGTGGGGTCAGCTTCTCTCACATTCTCATGCCTTTTCATAAGGCAACCCTATGGTTTAGGAAAAATCAGGTTGGAAACTTAATCCTCAAATTCATGGGTTCATGGAATTTGAAGGTTGGGCCTTTGAAAAGTAACTAGAGTTAGATGAAGTCGTCATGAAGGTGGGTGGGGTCCTCGTAGCCTTATTAAACCACTATTCTTTTTTTAAAAAAATTAGTGTGTATTAATTATACAGACCAATGAGTTCATTGTGGAGTATACGTACATGTGTCTACTTGGTCGTTTCCCGGACCCTTGTTCTTCCCCCTGGCACCTCACTCCCCATCCCCTTCTTCTTTTTGTTTCCCTTCTACTTTCACGTCATGTTTTTTTCTAGATTTCACATAGGAGAGAAAACATGGAATACTCGTCTTTCTGAGTCTGGTTTGTTTTGCTTAACATGATGATCTCCGGTTACATTCTTTTTCCTGCAGGTGACACGAGTCCCTTCTTCTTTATGCCTAAATAATACTCGATTATGTATTTATTACCACACTCTCTGTATCTGTTCATCTGTTGACAGGTACCTAGACTGATTCCATAACTTGGCTCTTGTGAGTAGTGCCACAATAAATGTGGGTCTGCCAGTGGCTGTGTGTTATGCTAGCGAATTCCTTGGTATATACCAAAGAGTGGCATAGCTGGATCAGAGTAGTTCTATTTTCAGTTTTTGAAGGAACCTCCATACTGATTTCCATATTGATTGTAATGATTTACATCCTACCAACAGTTTATTAAGGTTCCTTTTTTCTCTAAATCCTTCCCAGTGCTTAAAAAAAAAAAAGTTCTTGATGATACCTACTCTGACTGGGGAGAGATGGAATTTCAGTGTAGTTTTGGTTTGCATTTACCTGATGACTAAAGATGTTGAATAATTTTCAATAAAATTATTTTAAATCTCTATTCTTTATAAATTACTCAGTTTTTGGAATTCAGTAGCAGAAAAGAGGAATATAGCAACAGAGGTTAGTTCCCTCTTTTATTGTTTTTCAAATTCTGGTTAATAAGAGCAATATTTTTTTTTAAAAAGCTTTCTTTATGTCTTTAAATAAATAAACAAATAAAATGTAGCAAATATTTATCCATCATAGAATATTTAAAAATATTTAATATCCTTAGGAAACAAAAGCTATACATATTTCCAAAAACCATTAACAAGTCCCTTAAGTGGTATTTCCTTTGAACAAAATAGATAGTTGGAATAATATAATTATACATAAAGTTATGCACCTGGTTTTTACGGTTACTATAATAAAAACATTTTTCTAAAATTTCTCACTCCTCCTTTTACTTGTGCTACCTCGGTGATTAGTGAGTCCCCTAAGCCTCAGTATTCTCCTGTGTAAAATGGAGAAAACAGTAAGTAAGAACTCTGTCAGGACTAAATAAGAAGATGCAGATAGAATCCTTAGCTAGAGCTTACTATATATTAAGCACCCATTTAATGTCAGCTAACATTAATATTTTTCATATCATGCATGGATTAATGTATTATTAAAATAAAATTTTCAATGAGTCATTGAATTGCTGTACAACAGTATCTGCCACTATATAGTTGTACCATGATTTAATTCATGTTTTCCTATTTTTCTTTTCCCCCAGTACTGGGGATAGAATCCAGAGCATGACACAGGATAGGCAAGTGCTCTACCACTGAACTACATTCCTGACTCCCTGTTTTTGGACATTTATACTGGATAAAAATTTTGCTATTAAATAACTATGTGATGAAACTCTTTCCATGTAAAACTTTGTCCACCTTTTAGATGAAGGTAGATTATGCAAAGTGAAAGCCACTGTGGAGGAAAAGGAGAAAATGTGAATGCAAACAAAGCTTTTCAGCCATTCAGCCAAATTCTTCATAACTTCCACAGCCACCTCCTATCGAAGACCCAGAGAAAAGAACAGTTTTGAAACTAGTTTCCAGAGGCTCCTAGACTGATGAGGAAATGGGAACACTGAAAGATATCTAAGTCTTTTTTCTTCTGTCAAAGGGATAGGAATCTCTGAATTGGGAACCAGAAGACCAAAGGTCCACTGCCAGCTCAGTGACTAACTGTGCCTTTGGGCAAGTTGCTCAACTTTCCTGGGTGTCACCCTTGTTAAAATGAGGGAGTGAGGCCTCATTTCCAAAGTGTCTTTCAACACAAACATCTTCAGATCTAAGACTCTGAGATCCTACCAGCCAATGTCAACTTGCCTCACTTCCTATTTCAAGTGGACAATCTAATTCATGCAATCTTCATCCATTTAAAAACTATGAATGGTAGGTGGTGCCTAGGTGAATCGCTTAGTCTCTGGTCCTTGATGAACTCCCCGTCTAGACAAGATGAGGGAAAAATTGTACGGGACCCACTGTGATAAGGGCTATAAGAGATGTTATTACTAAACCCCAATGGAAGGACAGATGAAGGCAGAATCTATTGTGTTTAGTGATGCTGGGTGTATGGGTCAGATCAGGATCAGAGTCACTTAGAAGAAAAGACAGCTGCCCCAATTCCTGTTGTGTATAACCTTGACCCTAAGTATTAATGAAAGTCATTTCTATCAGACCCTTGTCTATTTTAAAATAACCCTATAACACAGATATCGCTGAGCATCTCCAGAGTGGGAGAAAGGGGGTTGACTCTAAATATGAACAAGATGTTGGCCTTGCCCTCCAAGACAGCGATGGGGGTAAGCCAGTTATGGAAATCGCCGAGGCTGAGGGAGGTGGGAGTGATTTACACCATGTGCTGTAGGAAGTTTGCAGAGGGAGATTGTGTTCCTCGGGGATCTGGAGGGAAGCATCCTTACTCCTGTAGTGGAAAGAGCACTGAACTGGAGTGGGGGGAAAAGGTTCCACTCCAAGGGCTAGGGTGAGTTGCCTGTGCCTGTGAGCATCAGTAAACAGCCCCAGAAGCATCACCTGGAGGTGAGACATGTGAGCTGGAGTGTATCAGATGCTGAGGAAGATGGTCTCCACTCCCCGTCTCCAGTTACTGATCTTCAGACTCAGTTTATGCATCCTCAAGGTGTGAGTGGCCTTTCCCCCTGAGGAAAAATGGATGAAGGAATGTGTATGCAGGCATACATTGGCAAATGTCAGAGCATGACTGTGGTTCTGGAGGAGGGAGGACATGAGCTGGGGTCCTGTAGAACTGACTTCTCCAGCAAGCATGTAAGGGAAGCTTCTGGCATTCACCAAGGATTTGTGGCTGCTCAGCAGAAGGGCTCTGTCCAGCAGAAGTTGCTGGAATGGTGCCCGATGGTGGCGAAAGCGCTCAGAGGAAGGGGAAATGGAGCAAAGGGGAGGAGGAACAGGGTGGCCGGCCACACTGCAGATAGACCTGGCTCTGGTGGCAGCAGAGAAGGGGTATTCAGGCAGAGCAGAGGCTGGAGATAGGTTGGCTGCTCGGGATGTGCCAGCCACCTAGCACCATGGAGAATGTGATGAGGAGTTGCCATCACTCCTTCACCTTTGTTCCTCTGTGTAATATTCTAAATGGAAAAGCTGTGATGGAGGAGCTTAAAAAAAAGTAGGGCAAAGGAAAGATGAACCAGGCTGTGATAGCTGGGGTGAGATTTTTGGCCTGTGCAGTGAGGGAGAAACACCCTGAGAGGTGCTGCACTTCGTTCTACAGTCAAATATAAGGTACGAGGTGCAGTGTCGCCCTCCCCACCATCCCTTCACCCTGACACCCACAATGTCTACCCAGATAGTGAGGGAGGGAGAAAGAAGTAGTTTTGGTGTAAGTTGCTTTGAAAACAATGTGGAAGATGGAAAAAGTTGGCTTAGAGAGAAATAGGTGGCATCATTTTAGTATTGGCGCAGCCCTTGGGTTGTGTCGTCTTGGGATATATTCCCTTTGTGTGCTTTTCCAGGCAGCATGGGGCTCCCTCTGGGTTAGAGCAACTGAGTTGGGT